GTGTGTGTGTGTGTGTGTGTGTGTGTGTGTGTGTGCGCGCGCGCGCGATCGCTGCCAATGGCAATGTTGTTATCACCTGAATACAGAAATCAGTAAAGAGGCTTTTTAGCTTTTTGTCAGTGTGTTTGTGTGTTTGGGTAAACTTGTTGTTTTTTTCTCTCACACACACACACTACCTTGTACTTGCATCAAACTGAGGACTTTGTATTGATTTCTGTTCATATTTGTAACTGCATTTATTCCTAACCCARACATTTCCCCTAACACTAACCSTTACTAGTCTATTCCTAACCCTAACTAAAAGTTATTTCACACCAAACCTCTAAACCTAACTAACAGAGCAGAACTGCACCAGGAAAACGTCCTCACTTCCCAAACATGACCTCACTTTGTTGGTTATAAACATGACAGTCCTCACTCTGTAGCAGAAACAAGTGCACACGCTCACACGGACACACACCTAACAGACATGCACACAAGACAGAGGAGAAGGGATCATGTCCGATCATTTCTCTTCCTGCCAGTGGCTCTAATGACGGAGCCAGCATCTCATTACCATGGTAACAGCGGTGGGATTATGGTTTCCATTGAGCACATAATATTATAAGTCCAGTCTTTGCTGCGAGCGCAGTCGAACAGATGAGCCGTCCCGTCATGATATGGATTAGAATGCAGAGTTTGTTTAAATATGGCTTATTGTCGCAGGCCTCAGGTGTGTGGCTGCACGCTGTGCTTCCACACATTCATAACTCAGTTTTTGCATCAACAGATAAAAAAATAATAAAAACACAGCAGACAAACTATCCGAAACATAATTAAATTTTCCACTGAACGCAAACTGAAAACASAAACTGTACCTTTTTAACAGAAACTCGATGCGTTTGGCACCAATAAATCAGCCCAACCTGAGTTTTGCTTTTTTGTTTTGACAAATAAGATGATGGCAGAGCTGTGGAAGTCAACGCTGTCGCTCTGCAGGCTTGTCTCCAAGACCTGGAAGAATTTCTAAACGTCTACTTGGAGCAGCCAGTTGCACTGCAGCATCACAAATGTACCAAATCCAGAACACACATTCTTATTATTTCATAAGCTGACTATATGTGTAATTTATTCTGTGCTCTTTTGCTACCCCCTTTCTATTCATTGGAAATGGACTCCCACTTGCTGCTGTTCTACCTGTGGAGATGGATACAATTTTGTGTCATGACTGCAAATCACCGGCTGTTGTGTCGTAGAAAATTATTCTCCAGCCTGGCTGTTGTTCTGTGTAACTCCCCGGAGTGTCGATCATAAAGTTTCCACCATGCAGGCGCCTGTCTCCTTTGTCAGGATTCCTGTGTGTCTAAAGCTGAGGCCCCAAAAAACCCTGGAGTTTGCAACGTGCCACTGCTCCCTGTAGGCAAAGATGGAGAACTGCAGGAAATCTCTTGCATCGCTGAGGTCCTTTTGTCAATTTAATGCAGCATTTCAGTTTAAAAAGCAAAGCGGCATTCACTGCTTTTTCTGTTATTTTGGGTATTATAATCTAATCTAATGTCAATTGTCACAAATGAAGTAAAACCATACAAACCACACCAAATCAATATGAGGGCATATTTAGAAAAAAGCATGTAGATTAAAAAATAAATTATGTACATATATTTAAAGATGCATACAGTAAAAGTGACAATCTGCTCTCTTCCTAAGAACAAATGCAAACAAGTTCATATGAGGGCTTGAAAGTCAGAAGACATAATAAATGGATTCAATAAATAAAGGTGTTTTGTTATTGGAGTTGTTTCCTCACCACCTCGGGGTGCAGAGCTTGACAAGTTACTCCACTCCGTGACACTTATTGGATTTATACTCTTCAGACTCTGGCCACATGAAGGTCTGAATGATGAATTACCTTTGAATGTTTTCTTCCAATTTATTGACTTTGCTGTCTCATAAGTTCCTCACATTTATATTGAGCCTATTTCTAGTATGTCTTCTGAATTTTAAGTTTGAAATTTAAATTGCTTGTGTTTTCAATTCAGCCATCTTGAATTAACCATCCGTAGATGTAAATCCAATCATCACCTCCTGAGGTTTTATGAAAATCCATTCACTGGTTCAAATAAATGTGAGTGCACACACATGAGCAAGCACACCTGTTGGCCTTCAACAGCAGGTGATAAAAACAAACTAAAAATACAAAATTACAACAAACAGATTAATGAAAGAACCAAAAACCTACACAGTTAAGAAAAACAATCCAGGTTTTTAAAAAAAAATAACTCGAAACCAACAATAACGAGAGTAAAATGTAAAAATGCTGTGGTTCATTTTTAATTTAATATGGCAGTTCAACAAACGATTCATAATAACTACTAAGGTGAGGCAAACAAGTTTTACTTTAAAATCATGACCTGTTGGTTACCAGAATATTTGGTCCACATTTTTTTTACATATTTATACTCTACCAGTCAAAAGTAAGGACACATCCCTCTCATTTAATTCTGTTCCTCTTTTTTCCTACATTGCAAATCAACATCAAAGTCATCTAGATGAAGAAATACAAAGGAACAAAAAAGTGCCACACAAACCAAAATATGCTCAGATTCTAGACCACTCAAAGCTGCTCTGATTACAGCCGTAAACACGCTTGGGATTCTTTGGAACTCCTTCATGACTGTAGGAAAACCAATCCAGGTGATTAGAAAACCTCGTGAAGCTGACTGAGAGAATAGTAAAAACAAAAGGTGCCCACCTTTAACAATCCACAATCCAAACAACACCAACTTCATCCTAAGGCTCCTTAAACGTCCCTTCATAGTGTGGACGACCCCAGTACTAACCTACAATGAAGGGATGAAAGAAAAACAGAAAAACATCGAATGAGAAGRTGTGTTCAAACATTTGACTGGTAGTGTATATTTATATTTAAGTTTCCTGACTGCTTCAATTCAACATTTAACTGTGTGTGTGGGGGGGTGGGTTTCTGGTGAAATTTGGGGGCAATTTTAAGACAAAATGCCTACCTTTGGGGACAACTGGTGCATTTGGGGACAAAAGTCGAGTCCCCATTTGGTTTAAATGCCATTGGTGGGTTGGGGGTGGGGTTTAGGACCAAGATGTGAATTGAGTTTAGGTTAGTTTTAGGGTTTGTAGTCAGGGTAAGGCTGTAGAAATGTAATGGAAGTCAATGGAATGTCCCCAAATGGATAGCTGTGCAAACGTGTGTGTGTGTGTGTGTGTGTGTGTGTGTGTGTGTGTGTGTGTGTGTGTGTGTGTGTGTGTGTGTGTTCAGTTCTCTGTTATAAGCCAGCAATATAT